GTTACTACTAGTAAGGCACTTGTTCCTAGTAGCGTGGCACTTGTTTCAAGAAGCTGTATGAACGCCCAGCCATCAGCTGGCTTTCGTAGAGATCAGGGCAGTCCGATCCGGCAGGTTCAACATAGCACCATTTCCGACAGCACCAATCACCCAAGGTGGAGTTGCCGTAAAGCTTTCCACAAAGTGTCCTGAGATTTTTAGAAAAAACTGCAGTTCCATTCAAATTCAATGGCCTTTCCATTCAGAATTAAGGAATATGAACAGCTGCTCAACACGCGCAACAATGGATTGCCAAGTCTTCCAGACTTTCTGAAATGGGACATGTTGGAAAATGTTGGAACCACAAGAATGATCAGTATGACAGGATAAGTGGGCATTCCAAGAGAATCTGGGGCCATGGGGTTGCAAACAAGGCATGTCCGAGCGGATCTGCCAGACTACAGCAATTCACTAATACCACAGTTCTACAATCCTGAGGCGGTGCCAAAACAAATAGTCCATCTTTCAATATCCATAATCTCAAGAACAAAGTTTAAGTCACACAAGAGTGACACGGGTCAAAAAAAGAGCTTCGACATTCATGCTGCTTCCGGCACAAAAACGCGACAACCGTGTCCCGTCGACCGGGAAACCATGGGGCAAAACAACGACCGGCTTTGCAGCGTGGACCGAGGTGCTCCTCATCCCATGCTTTGCAGCCTGCACCATACAACTCGCCCACGAGGTGCTGAACATCCTCGGTGGCCCTCTGGTTCAAGCAAATGCAGCTGCTGAGCGTCGTTGAACTCTTCCCTTGAAGCTCCACCGTTGTCAACTGGGCCAAGGATTACGACACAGCATACAATTGCCACATGCAAGGAACTTGGAAAGCCAACCTGTAACACAATTGTGAGTTGGAATGCAACACAATGCAAAGCTATGACTCTAGACTCTAGACCTTTGCAACTCTCATGTGTACGTAATCTGTTCATCTTTCATTGAACAAAACACAAGTTTGATTCTAGAGTTCTGAATAGTTCTAACTTCTTTCAATAGAATGTTCCCGAAAGTGCAGGTCTCTCTAAAGAACAACTTTGCTCCGTGGTTTGCAACTGTTTCCGCACAAACGAGTTCAAGTTCTTGCTACTCCGCGCGATCCGCGTTTTGTCGAAACATGACTATGCCTTGCTATCGACAAGTCGCTGGGATGACTTGCTCGCCATTCCTTAGATGACCAGCAAAGCCATGCAAGCCGCCGGCCATAGTCTGGGCACTGAGGAATTGATGGCATCAAGCTTCACTGAGGCCTGTACGCGTCCTCCATTTTGAATTTGATGGTCATGGCAGAGTCTGTGGCCCGCATAAAGCTGACAATGTAGGGGTCATTCAGGGACAAGACCTGGACAAAGGCTGCTATTGTTTGCGAGGAAAGCACGATGACAACCTGACTCCGTCTACCCGCACCAGCACCATAAGTTCTGAGTTTGCAGAGATTCGAGCGATCTGACTGAGTCAGAGAAAATTTGTGTGTCCCATATCATGACAGCTCTTTATTGTTCCACGTGTGTTCTTGTCACACGCCTCGTGATTAAAGGTCATGCTGTATGTAGCGGGAAAAGCGGGAGCTCCAGGAAAGTCGGGCTTCTCGCAAACCACCTGCAAACAAAATTGCAGCAACATCCTACATATTCTGGGGATCAAATCCAATCAAAACATGTTTCAGCCCACTTGACTTAACCGCGATGGCATTACATCTACAACACACACATATATATATATATAACGTACTTACTGGCAATCTGATAATATGTTCTTGGCAAACCAATGTTGTCAAAACCAACAGTGCAAAGCACTAGCCGCTAGCCTTGGGCTAGGGCCATTCTCTAGCTCATCCCCAAGATACGCCTGAGAAATGTCCACCACGTTCCAGGTCTCCCCAAGGATCGAGGGGAGAGCCCAAGCCGCCAAAATCCATCGGAGCTCCATGCTGAGAGTCCGGAGAGTGCCCCAAGAGCCAAGCTAAGCGGCTAGTGGCGAGCATGGTATCCACAAGCGGCGCATGAGCACACATTGGCTTCATCAATGTGATCTTACCGAGGCATGCCAGTACTGAGTACTTGATGCCAGTGATACTAAGGCATCTACATCTACGACATCCAGACTCTTGCCTAAATCCAGAGTCGGGTCAGGGAACTTTGGTGTTTCAACAGTCTCCAAAGGCGATCAAACAATACTCCTCCAAAAACTGTCCTCATGCTTGTCAAAAGATCAATCGCATGCTGGTTGTTCCATGTAGCATAGAGTCAATTCCAAGATCTGTAAGGTCCATCCAGCCTTACGCGAAAAGTTGTAGAGCTCATGGTTTCCTCGGTAAAGCTCGGGCACTTTGAAGCTTTGAACAGTGCAAAAATGAACACTGGACTTGTCAATGCGTAGAACAACATGGTCCGGAACCAAGAGCATCAATCAGCTGATGAATGCAACTTTAAACTTGGGTTTTAGAGTCTTAGATGGCCTTAGATGGTCTACAGTAACTAGTCATGTCTAGTCTAGTAGTCTTGAAAGTACATATATAAGACATGCGCTTCGTGGAGAAAACTGTGTGCAGCAAAGAAACCTATGAGATGTAGCACTGGTGGTCCCTTCTCCACAGGTCTTAGAAGCTCCTTGAAGACGTAGGATAAATCGCATCTTTCCAATTCAATCTGTTGCAATTCTCAACCATACAGCGCTCCTGCAAAGCTTTCACTCCCTGTCCTTAGCTCCAACTGAGGGATGGTGAAAGCTGTCAGTCCACACCAAGTCCTTCACCAATCGCTAATCTCGATGCGCATTGATCGTGTTACAGAACTACCCATAGACGGCGCATTCTGGGTCAGTCGGTCAGTCTTGACATAGCATTGTTGTTCTTGGTTGTTTCAGGGCTATACACAAAAACAACTTTGGCCGCTGCGAATGGTGCCCATTCGGTGCTTAGAGTCTTTAGTGGCACCCTCCACAAACGCTTTGTTTAGTGGCACATTGACGAGTTCCACCGTTGTATATAAATGTTCTTTCTTTCAGTTGAGAATATTATGTTGCTTACATGTCTCAAGACATCAGAATCGCATCCACAGTACCTGGGGTCGCCCGATTGCAGCCGTCCACAAAGTCTCCAAGCTGCGCTATGAAGTCCACCTGACACAGGTGCACCTTCCCTGCTCATGAAACCAACTCATGAAAGGAGGTGTTCGGCTCTTGGATCCTTAGGGATAACAAAAAAGAACTATATAATCGGAAAAATAAACAGCACCAATCAGTTAAAACAAAAAATGAGATAGAGCCTAGCTCAAGGCTGTGTTTTGTCTGTGATCCATACCCGTCCATACCATCTCTGTTTCAGGTCTCGCTTTTGAAGCTGGTCGATGCAAAGGCTCAGTTTTACCTCAATACGCGATCCTCGCACAGTGGCTTGGCCATTCGGCCCCACCCCTTGGGCGCCCATTGATGGGGTGCCCTCTTTTCCTGTACAACTTCCAGCCGAATGGATGTCATACCAGTGCTGCGCGCATGCGATGTTTCCCCTACATCCGGGGATAGCAACGAGCACACTTGCACGAAGAACATAAAAATGATGACATGACACTGACATCAGAAAATAAGAGAACACAACAGTCTTACAAAGAATGTGCATAAAAATACAAACACTTGCACCGGAGGTATAAGGAAATCCTCAGACTTGTTCATCTCGATGAGCTATACAACGACCCCTTGTGCGGACTTGACAAACAGCAAAGCGACCCCAGCCAGGGACTAGCATTCGCAGATTGTTCTTCAAACACATTCAAACTGTTAACAAGTAAAATACTATAAGTTAAAGCGGAGATACAAAATGCTTCACAATGTCAATCATCTATCTGAAACACATAAAGACAATAACGACAATTGGTTCAAGGTCATGTCCTCGCTGTTTGTCAAAGTGTCCACTGAGGCCAGCATCGAAACTCAAAAACATATCAGAAGTGATGGACGGAATCTGAACATATCTGATCCAATTCATTGAAAAACAACAACGTGGACACGCTCAAAGACAAAACATATAAATTTACTTTTTTCAGCAGGTTTCGAATGCAAAACAGGAAACTAAAACCAGAAACTCTAAATGGTATTCAATTTGCAAAAGCATTTACGAAGATTCAGCATCCAAGCTTCATCGGGTTGGATCATTTCAGGCACAAAGTGCTCCGTCTGTCGGTGCCGGCAACCTAGGTGCCGCCCACCAGTCTGCGGCTCACGTGCCACTGGATATCACAGGGCTGAACTCTCTGGAGTAGAGCCAAGCTGAGGAAACAAAAAGTCAGTCATTTTCCATGGCTCATCTGATTATGTTTCTTTCATTAAACACATTTCCTTGTTTAAACAGTTTCTTGTCTTTTTAGGGGGCAGGCCGTGAGGAGAGCTAAGTGGCTAAGTAAACGAGCTAAGCAGGTAAAAAAGGCATGATAAGGCTTGTAAGGCTTGCTAGTAGCGAATGGCCGCTACCATCGGCTCCAGGATACACTAGGTATGTAATCCTGAAAAAGGTTAGATGATGTGAGATGCACATTTGGTGACACGGACAAGCATAACAATAATGGGTTGCACTTGTCAGACCAACCCAAGAAGTCTGGGGGATTCGTTTGTGCCTTTTGAAATGATGCGGTAGATGAAAGATTCTGACAAAAAAGTCCAGACCCTGTGACCGCCGGACATGCAAGGATGAAGAAGCTGTTGCGCAAAGAAATCATGTGTCCTGAGCTTACAACAAAGTCTCGGTAGTAGGGCAGTAGGGCTCAGTGGGGCCTTGTAGAACAAGCTTCTTCGTCAGACAAAGAATTCTGCACCTCTCCAACCTCTACCGCAGCCACTCCGTGCTTCTCACAGAGGGAATCCTTTTCCAGGCAGTGGCAAAGGCGAACCAGGTTTTGCTGGTACGGGCGGAGACTGTGCTGCTCCAAAGGCCGTGTTTGAGAGTTCTTCTTCAAGAATGTAAGCTGCTCTTATAGTTGTACAATGACCAGAATACACCGGCAAGCTTGGAGCTAAAAACAAAAGTTGATGAGGGAATCAAACCTTGAGCTGCAAACGGCATTTTCGCCGCGCTTGCATGAGTAATCGTTGATTGACCTTAGAGAAGGTCGACTCTTTTGGAAGCACAATGCAACGCCAGTAGCTGGCTGGATTGGAATTTCAGGTGCTGAAGACAACTGAAATCTGGAAACTTGCTCAAAGGGCCTGACACCAAGCTTTTTGTATGATTTCTGATTCCTCATGCTAGCAATCAAGCAACCTGGATGCCGAGTTCAGCTACGATTGTCTGAGTGCTGCGAAAGCTACACACTTTGGATCAGGTCACCCTTTCAGAAGGCTTTCTATGAAAGGCGCAGGATGCGAAGGTATAGATATTCAAAATGGATGACTCTTCCAATCATGAATTCCACCGCCGATGTCTTGGAATGTATGCATGGTTGTATGATTACTGGCTTGATTTGCTGTCAGCACTCGACCATGGCAAACACTAACTACATACCTAGGTATGTCGACCACTTCCAGCGGTTCTGACATTGAGACCTTCTCAAGTCTCTTCCATCTTTGTGTCTTGGATTTGATCCTGAGACCAAGGCTCAGAAAAACACATATTCAATATGACTCAGTTGAGCTTTGCATCCGCAACATATTTTTCCACTTAGTTCCAACAGAACCTTTGTTTGATGCGAAATGCATAGTGAACCCAGTTCATGAAAGGCGTAGATGTGTTGACAGCACAGCTGCGAACGATATTTGCTGTCATAAATATGACGGCAAAGCTAGGTACGGTGTTCGTTCATGAAGTATGGACGGTCGCAACTCAAGGCCAACCATGGTGGGGCAACTTGACACTTGAGGAGGCCTATGAATATTATGAATGCCTCACTTTTGATTTTCTCCGTCATCCCGGTCCTCCACTTGCACCTGCGCCAGTGTGACCAACTGACCCTCATAGAGAGAAGAGATCACACCACCTTGGAGACCGAAGGGCAATGAATTGGACTCATGGTGGTGATAAAACGCTGCGAGACTTGCTGATGAACAAAGTCAACTGTTTCGATATCCAAGAGGCTCAGCTGTCCACTATTCAGAAAAAGCTGAACCACCAACCCCTGGTGGGCAAAGGGTGGCAAATGCACCTGACCAAGTCATCAAGCTGCGCTATTGGCCCTCATTCTGCCGCCCGTGAAAGCCAGGGTACACTCAACTCTATGTCTCTCTCACAATGGACTCACAATATCTTTTACAATGCCCTGCTAAAAAAGCAGTTCTCTTGCAGCTTCTGAGCCTGTCATTGTTGAACTCTGGAGGAAAAGGCAACAACACAACACTAGGCACTAGGCAGTGAGTTCTGTCAATCCAACAATAGTGCGCCTGAAGATATCGCCCGAAGCACTGTACTGGGAATGGCTTTGATGCCTTGGCAATGAGAGGGCAATAAAACTTGACCCAGCTACCAACAAATTATCTTGCCCAACACTGTGTCAAATGGACGTTTCTCGTTACCCCCATTTACAGGATTGGACTTTATCCCCTCGTGTATACATAGGAGTGCTGCAGTCAACAAACCCAATTGTGTGCTTTTTTGAAACTGCAGGAACAAATTCAAGATCATCCTACTGGTAGGTGATAAAGGCATTGTGATGAGCACCGTATATCATGTATATCGCCCAAGCGACGTCCACTCCGATGGGCAATACAAAGGCCTGCTGCTGCGTCACCGAAAGCAGGCGCTCCATCATGGCTCCACAGTCACCGAAGGCATTCCTGATGAACATCGTCCAAAGGCCCAGTGATTTAAGGAATTTCTTGATTTAACTTGAAACATCTGTGGCAAAGTGTCCACAGTACGACGGCTGTGCTGCCATGCCGCAGTTGCTGTCCCCAGAACCGGCGTGGAACGAAAAGCTCGCGTGCGGGGTCCCCGCCGTCAAACTGGTAGATCGTCTTTGAAAACCTCGATCAACACACTTCACCCAGATTCAAAAAGGTAGACAACAGGTGAAATCATTGTTCCCTCTTTTTGTCCGTGATGGACGTAATTAATTAACACAAAGCTGCTTGCACCAACCTTCCGGCATGTGAAAGACAGCTTCCCCGCTGTACTTGTTTGGGTAGGGACGGTAAGGACCGGGACTTCCGGTGCTTACACAACACTAGCTACCGAGCGTTTATTAAGAGTTGCTTCCACGTGTTATGATGACAACGATATAATATAGGACAAATAGACTTCTTGCAGATGCCACCTAACAGTTCTCTCATGGTGTCTTCGTGGCTGAATATCTGGTTGGTAAATTGGAGCTTCGGCACGGCTTGCACGAGCCTTCCGCACGGATTCCGCGAAAATCAAGAGGTCTTTCTATGAATTTTAGTGGCGTTAGTTACATGCCCTTGCGCACTCTTGCGCACAAAAAGGTCTTCCGCACAGCTTTGGTAGCTTCTGCGACTGCAAAAGAGTATATAAACTGGTTTGCCCAAACGTAGACTACGAAAGACTGACGACAAAAAACTGAACTTTGGTGGGAAAAGGACAGGTCTATAGAAGTCTAAGGTCCAAAGATTCACAGGAAGGAGAGAACAACAAACATTACATAACAAATACACAACGAGTAGTGACTTGTCTGTTCTGTACTTGCTTGTCTTTTCGTTTTACACTTGCAAATTCAGTTGACATGCTGAGTCCACAGCGCATCCAGCTCTGAAGGTCCCTTTGGGTGCCCGCTCTGGTCCATTTAGGGAAGTGCAGTACTTTGGCTGCAAAAGGCTTGTCTTTCAGTTGTGTGTTTGCCCAACTTGAAGACATGTTTTTTGGAAGTCAAAGTGTGAGAATGGTTTTGGCTGAAGTGAGTTGGCCTTTAATTCCATGCTCCCTAGAAACTTAATTGCCAAGCATAATGCCTAGCTGCAAAGTGAATAAAGAGAAGGATTAACTGCCTGAATTAGTACCTACTAAGGTACTGGACACTCCTGCAGTAGGTAGGACGCAGTATATCTCACACTTCTTCAAGGAAGCTTCCCCTGCGGGCTTCCTTGAGGAAGCGCTCGCACTATTATATAATCATTGGTTACTAGATTTTTAGGGAAACTAGCCACAGTTGCTTGGCGGCTCCCAAAAACCCGTATCTGACCCAGATCGAAACTGTGATGATTTGCTCTCGAGCGGCTCTGCGATAGAGTCCTCAGTCGAAAGCAGGTGCATAAGTGAACCGGAAGCAACACTACAGAGACATCTATACAGCGAACAACTATATTGCTGGGACTGCTGCCTTCCAAGGGCTAACTTAAATACAATTTGTAGCTGGATGTTTTAACCCAGTCTTGAAAACAGCTAGACAAAAGGCCAAAGAGGTTCATCGATGATGGCAAATCACAATAAACAATGCTCTTACACTTGCTCTTACATGTGCACAGAATATGACATGGTGGCTAATGTGCATGAAACGTCGAACTCTGAACGCTTTCAGGTGCTGAGTCTGGGCTGAACCTGTTAGACTTGGCCCAGCTGCAAAGCTTCGCAGATTGAGGCCTTCCATTCCCTCACCAGACCACCACTTCAGACTGGCTGCCTAAGGTCAGACCAAGACGCTGTCACAGTCGACTGAGCTGATCAAGCACACTGTCGGTTGGCTAAGCTCCCAACGATGGCATCCGCACATCGCGCTCCGCTGACTGAGAGTGGATGACGATTGGGTGCTGGCTGTTGCCGGAACTCCTCCTCCGTGAAGCCTCAGAAAACCAGTGCGTGGTGTGAATCCGCTAGGCACATGAGCCGGACAGTTCCAAGGGCCAAGCACGATCAATATTTTATTGATAATCAGGAGTCCAACTTGCTCCACATGCCAAAAGGAAAGTAAGCACAATCAGCGGAAAAAACTCGTTTCTGAAATAGTAATTGATCCAAAGTCACTAAAGAAGAAGATGCCTTGACCTGCACATATCAAAACCGTTCTCGCAACGATCATCTGAAGAACGGTCTAGTCCAGGAGTGTCTTACCTCCAATTGCCTCCTAATATCTCCTAATCCAAAACTGGATTCAGCATGCATGGAGATCACTGCACTGTCGCCCCAAAGCCGTCCGTGGCCTTCTGCAGCAGTCCTGAGCAGCAATCAGTGCTCCAAAGCAGTAACGAGGTGATCCCTGGTACAAGCCTGATAGGCCTTCTTTGGTCGCAGCAAAGTTGTGAGAGGCTACCGGCGAGCGCGTGTTTCACGAGATTTAACAAGCAAATCATGCTCTGCTTGCAGTCAAGTGTCACAACAACCGGGCCACGCTCCATTTGCAACTCAATTAGCAGCAGCAAATAGATCTCCTGGCAATCGCGACAAATCATCATCAGGGAATTCCCGCACTTCAATGCACAGGACCAAGCAAATACAGTAATAATCTAGATGCACGCAGCCATGCACATGCTCCAGCAATTTGAGGCATGGATCTTCATCTCCACTCATACTGAACTTGAGGAACACACACTGATACCGCGTCTTCTAGCGATATGGTGTCCCCATGTTGGCTTACTCATAGAATCACAAGGGATGATGAGGCAATTCTGCAAATCAATTGCAGATTATGTTTACTTTTCACTTGCAAATCCAAAGCCTAATTAGTAGCAAGGATGCTGTTCGGTGGAGGCCATCGCAAGTAGGTTGGAGGCCGTCGCTACTAGTAGCATCTAGTAGCAGGAAGCTCCTAGTAGCAAGGACGCTTTGCTCAGCTACTACCTTAAGTTTATCCCTAAAAATCTAGGAACCAAATCATTAGTGTGAGCGCTTCTTCAAGGAAGCTTCCCTCGCCGCCCTGTCGCGGGGGAGTTTCCTTGAAGATACCCCTAGCTACTACCTCAGCGGCCTACCCCCCCCGGCGGGCATAAGAAGAATGCTTAATTTAAACTAAATTAACTACTAGCTTCTTGTTACTACTAGTAAGGCACTTGTTACTAGTACTAGCAAGGCACTTGTTACTGCTAAGTCGTTTAGTTTAGCTCAGCTCCTGAGCTTCCGGAAAATGATGCTTCAAGGATTCTCGGAGACGAAGAGCTTGGCCTCTCACGGAGCGCCAAAGGTCTGAAGGTCACCAACAGACCGCTGACTGCAGAATTGAGCAAGCACTTGCATGCCACAAACCCGTACCTTATACGGTAGTTGCCATACCAGAAACACACTTTGTTCAGCCAACGTGCTAACTTTTGCTTTTCAAAGTGTGCCATGTCTGAACTCAGAATGCACAGTCCCAATTATTGAGGGCATGCCCCATATTCCACTAATGCAAAGACTCTTAGTGAAATCCTAGTCTGTGAGTTTCATAGATGTCTTGATAATTTAAATAAAGTAAGAGGAAGGCCTTCGTTCTATATCTGAGAAACTCTTTCGACTGGAGGTACAACTCCTCTCATATCAGTGAAATCCGTGGATTGGTGAGAATCAGCGTCGAGGGACATTTCTCCGGCGGCCAGAACCATCCAGAACCCCCCTTGGAAGAATTAGTAGCGATGCCCTTTGTTACTAGTAGCTTCTTGCTACCAAGTAGTAGTAATGCCAGGAGCTACTAGTAGCTTCTTGCTCCCAGTAGCGATGCCCTTTGTTACTAGTAGCGTCCTTGTTCCTAGCAGTAAGAAAATTCCGACAAAATGTCTGCGATTTCCGCTTCGTGCGCTTTGAGCAATGAAGGGACATTCCGAATTCCGCGGCAATAACAAACAATTTGCGGAAAAGGAAGTTACGCATAATTGTTCTCCCAATCACATGGCTTTTTATGTTTGTATGGGGGGCCCCCGTTTGCATCTAGACTCAAACTCTGAGGAAACAACTCCTCCAAACTGCAAGAAAGTGCTTTACACGGGGGGAGCTGGGGAGCCTGTAAACAAAGGAGGCCCTGACCTTGGCCTCATAATGCCTCTAATAGCGATGGCCTCCAACCTAACAATAGCGATGGCCCAACCTACTGGCGATGGCCTCCATCCTAAGAGCGATGGCCTCCATCCTAGTAGCAAAAGGACATTTTATTGCCAGGAGCCCCTAGTAGCGTCCTTGCTCCTAGTAGCGATACCAGGAGCCCCTAGTAGCGTTTATTTCAAAGTCTGATTTCTTTTGCTCTCCAGGTGGCCGATCTCGCGGGTGGAGTTGATAATCCGCACGAAGACGCGTGGCACCTTGGGCGACACATCGCCCGTGCCCAGGAAGCGATGGATCCGCCTGGAGTGGAGCCAAGCAGAGGTACCGAGGGCAGGATCAAAATGGTCAAAAAGTCTTCTGACGTGGTTTATTAGTACATAGTTTATTTATGTCCAAATCTCATGTGATTTCAACATTGCGAATCTAACGCAAGAAGAGTATCATCATAAACTGATCTTATTTATACCAGGTCCAAGCCCGACATACATGGAGTCCTTATTTAAAACCACTGAATTGCGTATATAATACCATATCTGGGGCGTCCGCACGCGGTCCTTTGATCAGAGTAACATGAATAACACAAATTCTCAAACAAGTATGAATACTCCTCAATAATTTCTGTACAAACTGGTATACAACCACATTAAATAACAATTGCATATTGCTAAAATACGACTCAAGAAAGCAGCCCTCCCAGCTGCTACATGTACAATAGGAAGGGACAGCAACAAAAGCAATCTGCCTCCCCCAACACCTTGATAGGTAGTGAAAACTTTACCGTATGGTCATGATACATAACCGTGCTGAGTTGTGCCTAGGTTCATCCTTCGCTTGCGAAAACGAGTGTTTAGTGGCGCTCAACAGAAGCCTCCTTCCACCCCTTCAGTCCTGGTCATGTCCTGAAGTGTCATCGGGGCTTCCAGGTTGTGATGCCAGAAGGATCCGCCCCAACGAGTGCCGCCAAAGACCACGTGTTGATCCACCATGTTGTACGTGGAATAGGTGAGGAAATCCTGCGGCTGCATTCATTTTGATCCCAAAGAGACCCTTCCCCCAATACTTTTGAGATACACAGTCAGATTGCAAACACATATTTGATCCGCATGGAACTCGTTCAGGAGTCGTATGAAACGACAGGTTTTGGACACCAAAGAATGCCAGGCCTCGAACCTCATGTCCATGCAGTGCAAAACCCCTTCAAGCGAGCTGCGAGTCCAGTCGAAGGGATAGGAGTTCCTTGTGATCTTGGCTCAAAAGGACGGCAAATTGGGCCCTTGATGGTTGGACAACTCAAACTTTGTAGTTGTGAATACTTAATGTTCTAGCTACTTACTTGGGAAGATAGTACAACATTGAACATATACGGCCGCACCCACTGATTCCACTGAAGCCAATAGAACCATGCGCAGCAAGGACTCTATGTAGAGGCGGAATACTGAGTAGAGTTGTAGAGTTGGGAGAAGAAACAACATCAAGTTCTGGACACCTGCAAGTCACTTCCGAAGGTTGAGAAGCTGCATGGCATAGGAAGGAGCGCAATAGCATCCAAGACTTATGAATTCGCACCTTTCCTCGGACTGTCGCTTCATTGCAACATGGCAGTTGAACTAACCTAATAGCAATGGTCTCCAAAATGGCCTCCAACCTACTATCCATGTACTGTAAAGAGAATCACCAAAAGCTGCTTTCGATGGGGGAAGAGCTGGATATTAGACATTGATGCACTAGTAACAAGCAGCTACTAGGGGCTCCTGGCCTTACTATTGGGTCTTGCAGGATCGGAAATGGACCCGAAGCTGAACTCAATGCTGTCCTCGCAACGGCCCCAAACACCGTATACTTAAATGCCTTCAAGTAGTTCTGATGCCGCTATAGGAGATTTCCGGCAACACAATTATCACAATTACTTCAAGTTGATTGCTGAAGTTTGGTAAGGTCATTCTTTCTCTTGCCCAGCTGCCATAAAGGCGGATACGCTAGGCCCACAAAGCTTCAATGCAGAACGCCTTTCATCTGACGTCATCTCAGGCACAAAGGTGTAGCCTGTCTGAAGACTGGGATCCTTGGGCAGCTGAGCTCCAATGATACTGTATAACACAATATGTATATATATATAACGTTATATTGTACGCGAGTGATTGCCAACCTAGAGCGATGGCCTCCAACCCAATCTGAGAACATCCAATGTCTATTCCTTCATCACAACCTCACCAGGAAAAAGGCACATGAGCAAACCCATGCACATTGCACTTCGCAAGATATATCGGAGCTCTCATCTATAGTCATTAAAGTCTAGACTTTAGTCTGAACCAAGAGTCTTCCAAGTGCGCATCCCATGGTTGGTTTGTGACAGTCTGGTTGCCACCCGTGGCCACCTGAGCTGCCTTTGGGTCGACCACCGACGCGACCAATCCTTCTGCAGCGGCTACGGCGACGACCTCGGGTGGTCCCTGAACCGGCAAGTTGTCTTCACCGGCGTTCTATCAAAAATGGCAACTAGCCCGAGAGAGGGCACGTTGATTGCATATGTTATATATTGTTGTATATATGATATATGATGAACATACTGCAAGAAAGCATCCAACAATTTTGGTACTGTAGTCTCATCTAAGTCAAGGTGCAGCTGCTCCTGTCGCCGCTGCTCCTGTCACCGAAACATCTGCCACTGCAGTTGCCCTTAAGTCAGGGGCGCTCTGATCTGCAAGTCCCTCCATCAACACGGAAATATCACGCAAAGTTCTTGACTGTTTTGAGCCAGAAACCGCAGTCGGTTCCTCGTGAAGTACAAAGCACCACAAGTTGATTGGTCAAAAATGCTTAAAGTCGCTAGTTCCGGGTCACATGACATTGGATTCTGGATTGCAAATAGACATATAGTTGGCCGACATGAGCCGACCACCCCGCAAGGGTCCAATGGTGTGTCCATCCATGCCCTAAACATGACATGAATTGAGTAGTGCTGACACCACGGGTTAGCTACTCGCAAGTTGAGACACATGTAAGCTCTGTTGGAATGCTGGTGGCAACGCCACAAATAAGCCCAGTCCGAACAACCAAAGAGCTGTTGATACATGTTGATACTATGCCGGGGTGGACTTGGCTGTCAATACTACAAGAAGCACGTGTCAACTTGTTGGCCTGGGCCAATGGCGCTGTGCATTTGCTATGGATCATGGATACATGTGGTTCAGAATCAGTGAACGAACAGTATCTCAGGCGACTAGACAGCAGTTTGAATAGTATCCCAGGTATGAAGTGATTCAAGTCTTGCCTCCTCCTCATCAAACCACCTGGAGTCTCAGCTCTCCAAGAGATTTACACTGAAGACAATTTAGCTTAGTATTACAGTATTACAATGTTTCCAAATACAGTACTAGTGAAGCTTGAAACTCACCCAATAGTTGTATACAGTTGAATCAGCTGACAAATATTGATTTTTTCCAAACCACCCAAGACTACCCTTCGGAATAGTCAAATTGAAACACATGTCAAAGTCGTAGACCATCCAGCTTGGCCTTGTCAAATCTGGTCACCGAGGCTGGCACTTGACAGCCTGGTCCCAGAGCTCCCGGGAGCGGCGATAGCGCCTATGCACCCGATGAAAGAGGACCGGGTCACAAAGAAATGACATCAGAAAGCCAAGATTGAGGAATAACTAGTAGTTTCTTGTTGCTAGTAGTAATGGCATCCAACCTAATAGCGATGGCCTCCATCCTACTAGGTTCTTGCTACTAGTAGCTTCTTGTTACTAGTAGCGATGCCCTTGTTACTACTAGCTTCTTGCTACTAGCAGTAACGCCCTTGTTACTAGTAGCGATGCCCTTGTTGCATTTGTTCAGAAACATCAGGACCCCTGTCACACTTAATGCCTTCCACAAGCACATTGGACACCTGGCCTCAGGCGTGAGCCGCTGAAGTTCAGGGCATCTTCTCTGTCGGCATACCTGAGATTCTAAGCTTTGAGACCAGGAAGACTCTTTAGAACCATGGACAAATCTGTTTAAAACCAACCCGTTACAATTTGACAAGTATATAGATCCGAGCGGCCTGGAGCAGCCAGACTCTTGCGATTCAGAGGAAACAAACATCAAAATATAAGCTCGATTTCTGTTCACATCGAATCTAGACTCTTCTCTTTGCTGAACTTGAGTCCAGCGGCACTTTGTTAAGTACCCTTGACATGTTTTCAAAGGCATGTCCAATGATGCGCACAGTTACATTCAAAGCACAAAAGGGGGACTGCCACCAATCCACATACCTCTTTCAAGCTTTCAAAACAATGCAACAACCAAGCTAGTAGAAACAAGTGCCACGCTAGTAGTAACAGGTGCCTTACTAGTAGTAACAAGAAGCTATTAGGAACAAGTGCCACGCTAGTAGTGCCATCAATCCTTCAAAGCTCCAAGGGCCGAGCTGAACATCAGCAACAACCCCGAAACGGAAAAGCGGCTCCTGCAAAGCTGCAAACATGGCCCAAGCTGGCTTCGCCATGTCATGTATAGTTCAAGGATATATATATATAATATTATATATATATATATTGTAATTTGTCAGGAGACAGGACAATGACTCCAAGATCACGGCGCCATTCATTTTGGTTTGCGGGAAGCATCACCACAACTCTAGCATCAAGGTTTGCTTGCTCAGCGCCTGTCCTCTGCTTTGAGAGCCATCTCACGTCGTTTTCGAAGCATCCGGCGTAGTCGTGGCACTCGGCAAACGGCCCTCAGCTGTTGTGACAACCTTGTTTTGGAAAAGGTTTGTTGCAGAAGTGAGTTGCTTTGAAACGCCATTAAGGCTTCATGCATCGGCAAATCGGACTTGAATTCTCTCTTCAATCATCTTGAATCAAGGGTACACTAGCAATGAATCCTAGCAAACCAAGGCAAGGATCAGGATTAGGCATTGCACATCATCAACGCATGTCCATCTTATAAACTCTCAACTCTGAAGAATTGGCAGCTCGCGCCCGTGTCTCCACACCTGACCAACGAACCTGCAACGAGGCAGCTGCATAAGGATAACCGAGACTTCTGACCTGCAGGTGGGCGGAATTGCTTGAGGTTGTAGAGGTTAAAACCCTATCTGATGCTCCCTAAATTCTGACCGTGCTCGATAGCTAGGCTACCATGATAGTCCATCGAGGTCTGCAATGTGCACTCCGCAGGTCTGCAGGTCTAGCTCTGACAGTCATGGGAAGCCTCTATGTCTCAAAGTATTTCGCGAGAAGCTTGAAGTCTCTTGTGAGATGCTTCCAACTCCTTCGCCAGGGGCCAACAAACATTGTGCCATTCGGATGATAATTATGTCAAATGTCTGGTATGCTCCAAGGGTTGCAAGGACGTGGTGGCCAAATGGAACCTGCAGGTTCCTTGTTGACTGCCTTTGTTTGGGAACGTCTGTCATGGTCGTGGTAGTGTGCTGATGGTGCCCTACTACATCAAGGGACTCCAACGGCAAGCACTTTACAATACCAAGACTCAACAGCTTTGTGTTCAATGGTCACCTGGCCTTTTGTTTCAACAGCAATCGACTCGAAGGTTCAGTGTCTGAAAAGGGAAATCAAGGAGAGAGAATGGATCATATTACAGTACTGCCTTTCGAGACATAACACTGCAACAATTATAACTATGAGTTTGGCCAATTTTATAAAGCACGAGAAAACAAGGATGCACAAATCAAGATTCCATTACACAAGCCTGTGTTGTTGCAGGGATCGAGCACAGAACGAAACTATGTCAATCTCCTTTCACTGTTTCTAAATAACATCGCATCCATCAATTGCTCAAAGCTCCTGTTCTGCTCAGCAGCAGGGGAGTGCAAAACACTGGCTGCTGAATCGCCATGTTTGCCACCGATTCAAACGTCTGCAGATTGTTTTACACCTTTTGATGGCCAACCTACAATTTAACGGCTGAACAGTTGGCCCAATACAGTCTGGAATGACTCTCTTTCTCCAACTATCTCCAGCTTTCATGACCGATAGCTTCTCTCAACGTCCCAGTGACTCTAAGCCAGACTGATTTCCCACATGCAATTGGTTTTTGCAAAGTCTTCGGGCCACCTTGTTTGTATCTCCTCAGCCAAAGAACTAGCCCTTCAGCTGGTATGCCCATGACTCGCCCCTTTTTCCCTGAGCAGCCTTGCCAAAGAACTCTCCCAGAAAGAGAGGACCTCCTTGGTCGTTTTGGCCTAGAAATGCACGGACAACTGGTTGAACTCCCCAATTGAAGCACGGCAAAACCCACCTGGAAGTCCTTCATGGCACTGCTGCGAGTCTCCAAAGACTTTTCAGTGGCAAGCTGAAGAAGAAGATCTGGGAAGCTCCTTCGATAGGTACAGTTTCTGTCAACTATCTAAAGCCTAAAGCTGACTGCGCCACTGTCATTTAATTACTACACTCTCTTAGACTCACTTGCGCATATTGATGAGCAGCTCGCTCAGGCCGTCCTAAAGTAGACCATGTGAGGTAGCCGCACCAGGTCGGAATAGGCAGCCAGCTCGAGACACCTGCGAAAATTGAGCAGCAATACAAGTGCATTGGGACCTCTGGACCTCAGCATTTGTGATTGGATAGAGTGGCTGATAGCGTCTTCGCTGTGAAACAATAGAATCACACAATCATCTAAATGATTGATCTTGTCATGTACCCCCCCCCCCCCCGCCTGTCGGGTGCCAAATGTCGCAAGCCTTTTGTGGCACAAAAAGGTGGCAGTGAATCACTTTGGGCCAGTGAAGGCTCCATGACGGCAGGGTCTGCAATAGTCCAAGAGAAAGACCACATGAAGAAGTCAGCCTCAGCGGCCACAAATCCATCCACTTTCAAACACAGCGATGGCCTCCACACTAGTAGGTTCTTGTTCCTAGTAGCGATGGCCTCCAACCTACTAGCTTCTTGCTCCTAGTAGTACGGCCAGGAGCCCCTAGTGGCGTCCTTGTTCCTAGTAGCGATGCCCTTTGCTCCTAGTAGCTTCTTGTTCCTAGTAGCGATGGCCTCCACCCTACGTCAGTTTCAATGGTTGAACAGCGGAGTTCAGAGTGGCAGTAGAGTCCGATGCTCATGGCACTCTGAGTCAGTCATGCTGAGAACTTAACCTAGCCTTTTTGAGTCTTTCCACACAATATGAAACATACTATATAGACTATATAGCACTTCTGAAGCACTTAGATGGTCACGCTCTAAACAAAATACCATGCCAAAATGCTACCAATTGGCAGGCAGAAAAATCGGCACACCCATACTGTAGAGCTCCAAGAGTTTCATAAAGTGCACCTGGACAACCACAACAAACATCACTGTAGTAGTTCAATGTTTAATCTTGAGGGTCAGGAATCTCATCTTGTATCGATTTAGTTTGACAGTTTGACAGAGTAAATTGCAAAACATTCTTGGGCAATGGCATCATAAGGGAAGACCACAGCCGCGTGATACTCTGCTAATCTCTTGTACCGATCTGGACGGTGAGCCTTCCAGGACGGCACCTCCTGTACACAGATTTGGGTGACGATGTTTTCTGTCATCAAAGCTTTCATTCGCAAGAAACCAAGAAGTTGAGGGCCTCTAAACCAATCATCTGCAGGCTCAACCGATTGACCTCCTGAAATCTTTTCAGGAGGGGCAAGAAGAAGGGCCGGTGTGGCAGCTGCTGGATGACCAATACCTTAAAATGTGCAAAGAATGGCGAAGGCGAATGCACAGCAATGCTTGTGTGGCAAAGATCAGGCCAATCTTCTGTGGGTGGACAAACATGAGAGATATTTTCTTCACCGCCTTCGCAGTTTGTTTAGAAGTGAATTAGAGTTGAGCCATGATACCGCCTCGTGGCGTGGATGCCATTTCCATTGAGCAGTTTGTATGGCTAAATACCTGACAATGGGAAGTCGCACACCTGTCTGCCATTGAACCTCAGCTGCCCACACCAAACGTTGCGACTCATGGTCCAATACAGTAAGCATAGCTTGCCTTGAACTATACCGTATACCCACTCGACGAAGCTGCTTTTCCGGCACAGGGCAGCGAAGCACATTGTCGTTATTAAATGTGTTCTTGCTGTTCTATTTGCAACCTGACATGTCAGCTTTGTGGATCGGCGTTTGCAGCTCTGATATGTTCTGATTCTTTAAGTATATAGCCACCGCTGCTGCCACTATGGATTAAATAAATTATGTCACTGTGTGTGTGTTGCTGTTGCCACTATGGATCAGATTGATTGTCATTTTGCTGGGAAGATTGCTAAGATTCGCTAAGATTACTTTTTCGCTTACCGCGATATCTCCTTGTAATTGTCCAAAGAAATTTGGATGGCCTTGTTGTGGCAGAAAAGATGAACACTCTTTGCATCTTACTACACCAATCCTGCCAAGTGTGGGAAAGTAAGGCTGCACACAGCAGTTTGGTGATCATTGTGGTATGATCTCGCAGCAAATGAACCTGCAACTGCTACAAGAGCAACACATCTTATATGGAGGCTCTTCTTGAAAGCACATGTGTTCTTTGCAACTCAGCTGAAAGCTTGCATTTGAAGAAAGGCTGTATGACCTCAGAAAGCTCAGCCAAAGCCTGATCAAACCGCCACGACCTCACAATAACGTGTCCGCCTCACCCCTGGACTTTTCAATAAAGAAGGCCCTGTTGAAGGAGCTCTTACGGTACTCTTACCTTCTTTTAGTCCCATTTAGATAAAATTATGGTCAATATATTCCTGTGTCTTCTTCACGCAGGACCAAATTCACAAGGCTCGGACAAACAAAGAAGTTGCGCGGCTCTTGGGCCTGGACATGCACATGTGTATATAAAGATATATATCCGCCGACCCCTGCTCTGGCGAAGGCAGGGGCGGCGCCTGGGACCACCGAAGGTGTGGAACCTGAGCTCTCCAAATCCTTACTTTTCTGGGCCCGAAAGCAAAAGCGCCAAAAGTTCGCACTTGCTAGACTGTGGGCTCTGGGCTCTGTGCCAGACTGTGGGCCATACTGGCCGTTGGAGCAGCCAGCTTCTGGATTCTGGACGCTTCAGACGCTCCAAAACCTCGCACTTGCCAGACTGTGGGCTCTGGGCTCTGCGAGACTGTGGGCGGAGTTGCGCAGGCTGTGGGCTCGGGGCTCTGGCGCGCCAAATCCTTTTTTTCTAGTGGCCCGAAACTGCCCTTCAAACGCCTCAAACCCCTCAAACCCCTCAAACGCTCCGACACTTGCCAATGCCCTGATCTTCCAAAAGTCTCTATTTAGAGGTTCCACCCTTATTTAAAGACTATAGTCTTTATTTTTTTCAATGAAAAACGTCTAAATAAGGTCTATAGACTCTAATTAGAGGTTAAACCCCTTAAAATAGAGAAGGTACCTCCTCTATTTAAAGCTTTAAGCTTTAAATTAGAGACTATAGTCCTTATTTAAGGGATGTTCCAAAAGCCCTTATTTAAGGGATGTTGACTGGCAAGAGAAACGACATATTTTCCATGTTAGAGTCCACTTCAGAGCTCCGGCACATCGTGCTGTGCAGCAAAACTGTCAAACACAGAGAGCCCCACTGCTTTTGCAGTGCTTCCCCCACCTCTGCGCTCGGCCAAGAGTGCAATCCTACCGCCCCATGACTCCTCAGTGTATGTCCAGAAGGCAGACGGCGGAGTGCTAGTCTGGACAAGTTCGAGAAAGGCGTGCAGCTTTGGCTTGGCCGGAAAAGTCTTCCAGCCATGAGCCGCGGAGTAATCACCCAGCGCGACATAGAGAAGGGCGAAGCGCAGGGCAGCCTGTTCTAGAAGTTCTCTGTGAAAGGCCTCTTTGCTCAGCTGCTGGTAGCAGACCTGCAACTGCAGGGCGGCTGCTGCTGCAGTGGCGGCCGCAGGCTGTGTGTGGTCGAAGAGCTCGTTTGTGACCTCGACCGCGAAATCAATGAGGTCCCTAGCTTCACCGGCTTTCGCCCGCAAGCGGGCATAGGCGCCAGGCTGCTTCCAGATCATTGTGGGCTTGAGCTCCAGCAAGCAAGAAGTCTTGCAGGCTCTCTTGTAGTAGGCCTTCATACGCAAGTGTAGAGCGCTGCACTTTTGCGCTTGGTTGCCCTCGAGGTAATCGCAGGCCCAAGCCAAGATGCCCCCTAAGAATTCCAAGGAGATGCCCAAGTCAGTGGTGTGGAGCCAATCCATTTGGAAGGTTTCGGTGGTGACAAATGGAATGTTGAAGGCTGGAGAAATCGATTTCCCATCAGCCACCATCCTGACCAAGAGATCAGCATGGCAGAGGCGGTGGCTGGGCTGTCGCCAGTCGGAGTTGGAGGCCACTTCGCGAATGCGGTCTGGCGTCATATCACATCGATAGCAGCAGCCAGTTTTGTCGCGCCAGCCAGGGAAGCGAAAGACAGACTTGCAGCTGACCAATCACCTTTGATTTCCAGCAGCACCCCACGGGGCAAAGGCATGGCAGAGCCCAAAGCCTTCTTCCTCCAGGCATCGGTGTGGTCAAATGGCTTTCCGTCTGATCTGGTCTGAGGCCAACAGCCAGTGGCCAACTCTTTCATGAAAGTGGCCAACTCTTTCGCTTTAAGTGGTCCACAAAGTTGCCCCCGTAGAAGACATACATGAACTTATTCAACTCTTTCTCCTCAGGGTGCTCTTTCTTCTCGGCTTTGAAGGCAAACTTCTCGACCGACTCAGCAATTAGGTGCTGCACCAGAGAATCCTTGCGCTCAAAGGTCATCGAGTCCGGCTGGAAGGCGTTCATCTCCAAAATCTGGTTCCTGGCAGGGCAGCAAACAAAAAATGTTCTTTTCTGTCTTGGGGGTGGGGACCGCTGTGGGAGTTTAGTTTCAAAAGAGTCCTTGTAAAAAAACCTTCGCGCAGCTTGTCACGGGACTCCGTAGCATCCGTGTGTTGGTTCTCCACACTCATGAGCCACTGGGTATTGTTCTTGCCGCCAGCAGCTTCGAACTCTTTGAGCAGGCCCTCCTTTTCAGCCGCGGTCTTGCTCCAGTACATGTCCAAAAACTGCTGAGCCTGTGACTTCTTCTCTGCATCCTTGGAGTGGTTGGCCCTGTACTTCATGAGGTTCAAGACACGCTGCTGAAGCTGCATCTTCTCTGCAGCACTGGAGACGGTTTCTACCTCCAAGGCCTCAGTCGACTTGCCCCTTTTCAATTTAGCCCCAGCAGCAGGCTCTGCCTTGGCCTTGGCTTTAGCAGCAGCTTTGCCAGCAGCAGGCTTTTTGGGCGCAGCAGCCTTGCCAGCAGCAGGCTTCTTGGGCGCAGCAGCCTTGCTCGCACCAGCCATGGCAAGGACAAGTGGTACTCAAGACAAGTGGCCTCACAGACAGGGAGCTACTCAGGGGTGGAAAAGCTGAGAGCAGCGCCAAGCAAGAGCTGCAGCTCATCTCTCTCCCTTTGTCTCAAAAAAAAAAGAGAGAGCGCATCGCACTTGCCATCCTGTACGGTGCTCCCAAAAACCGGCAAAAGACAGACAAACACATCGACCCAGCAAGAGAAGAACAAGAAAGGGGACAGGAAGGGGAAACAAACCGGAAGGACAAGATGTGCAATATGTTATGTCCTCAGGCCCTGACTCACAAAGAGCAAAGGACGCCAAGGTCTAGCCCCACCAGTCCAATGAACAAACATCTACTCCAAAGTCTGGGAAACAGACATTGAGCAGAAAGCCTGCGCAGCAAAAATTTTCAAATTTGAAAAAAAATTTCAAAAATGTTCCTTTTAATATTAAATTAAAAGGTAGACTTTTGAAAAAAAAAATCAAATTTGAAAATTTTGGTGGGTGTGCGTGTGTGTGTGTTGGTGTTGCGCGCACAACTGCTCCAAAACTCACAACTCGAGTTTGCTTCCAAAGCCACAACCGTTGAACTCCTATCTGTTTGTTTAACAAAGGAAACATTGCCAAATCCAAAGCCACTCAGCTGGCATATTTTCCTGGCTACAGGATTGGTCGCTGTGACCGGTATGGATTCAGGGCATCTCCTGGCCCACTATACTTATAGGTGCCTCTGGTGAGTAGGGTCTGGGATCCAAACATATATACCAACCCTTAAAAAACAAACCCTTGCACTTAACAGGTGGTTATATATATATATATCTCTTCATTCATTTGAGGGGTTATACCCACAGACCCAAACATGTTCCAGTGCAGGCTCTAGGAGCTCAGGCGCCACTCTTGGATGTGGCGGAAAACAGCCAACGCGCGGCGCCACATGAGGCATGTGGTGCTCAAATCCGGGGACGCGTCCAGCTCAAGGTTCAACGGGTTCTGCGTGTGTGGAACGACTTCCCACTTGGCGTCAGCAGCAGCAGGCCGAATGTCCTCGAAGGTCTCATCGCTCTGTCCTGCACAGGGTCAGGTGTGCGAAACAAACAAACATGCATTCATTCAGGCCTGACTCCCAAGAGCAAAGGCCCAAAATCATGCGCAAAACACATGAGTTTAAACATATATTGTTTTTGGTTTTGGTGGCTTGCTCCTGACCCAGAAGGCAAAGGAGCAGGCCACCCATAGCTGCAAGAACTGTCAAGTCGGTCGAGAGTCCAGGGGGAGCTGTCCAAAGTCCGCTGCTTCCTTTGAACCCGGCATGCATGCATCGCACACTTTGAGCTGCTGCAAGTCGACTCACTCACTTCAGACCTTGCGCCTCTCTATACATCTAGGCCTCCTGACCTCCCTACGAAGCTAAGGATGCCGTGACTGCCCTGGTGCACTGCTGAACCGTGTGCGCGCGCGCGTATGTTGTGCTGTGCGCGGGGAAGCGACATGAACAGGACGAGATACAGAGGGGTCGACAATCGGGGAAAGAGACAAGACCAAACAACAAGACCAAACAAAACACAAATCTCCCCCAAAACAAATTTTGCTTTTGGTTCGCAGCTGTGCAATCAAAGAAGGCCCCGCTTCCGCCAACACGACGGAGTGCAGCCCCTGCGATTTCTGCAGGTTCCACAGCCTTTGGGCCGGAGCTTCTGTCGCTCCGTCCCTAGCATGGTTTTGCCTGTCTTTTCATTGTACAAATCTGGCAGAGGCGACAAGCTTTCCTCCGAATTGGCCTCCCCCTCAGATGCCAGGGCTGCAGCAGCAGGCGCGGCTGCGGGTCGCTTCTGCGCGGGTCTCTTCTTTGGGGCCGAGGCCGGCTTTTTGCGGGTTGCCAAATCCTCCAACAAAGTAGGGCATTCAGTTTCTTCTTGGGCGCCGTCTCGCCAAGTTGCCACTAGGAACCCATTGCTCCCAGCGCTCATCTTAGCTTCCTCCCGACGCCCACCCGGATGCATGCGCACTGCCACGCGCTTCTCCCACTCAAAGAAATGCGCCACAGTCGCTCCCTCTTTCAAATCCGGCGCTGAGCTCGCCACTGTCAAACGTGGAGCCAAGCGCCTGACTTTCTTTGGCGGTGACACACCCATGGCAGCAAACACATCCTGTTGGAGAATGCCCGCATTGTCCGAGCTGGTTGTGTCTGGCCTATAGCGCCTGCGCTTGAGGACGCGGCAGTTCCTGACGCCACCGGCAACGGTGTCGCAGAGGATCTGCCCAGGTCGCGCAATCGCTTCACCACACGGAGAACAGAAGCTGCGGTCTTTGCCCCTGACGTCACAGATTTGGCCTTCGTCCTGCACTCTTTGAATGCCTTGTGCAACTGCTGGGCAAACATGGCCTTCTCAGAAGCCTGCACTCCAGTGAATGCTAGCTTGGCAGCAGCTTCCAAGGCTGAACGGTTGGGTCGCTCTGTCAAAGCAAGGATGTCCAACATGAGTTCTTCGTATTCTGTCACCACATCTTCATAGTTGCTCGCCC